TCACACTGATGTTTGGGGACCAGCTCAAGTGTTTAGTGGTGGTTTTCGATATTATGTTAGTTTTTTAGATGATTTTAGTCGTTACACTTGGATTTATTGTATTAAATCCAAATCTGATGTTGAACCAATCTTTTATAAATTCCAAAAACATGTTGAACGTTTGCTTAATAACAAAATTTGTATTGTTCAGTCTGATTGGGGTGGTGAGTATCATAAACTTCATAAATATTTTCAGCAATGTGGTATATCTCACCGAGTTTCTTGTCCGCATACCTCACAACAGAATGGTATGGCGGAACGCAAACACCGTCACATAGTCGAAACTGGCCTAGCACTTTTAGCCCACTCCTATCTCCCAGTTTGTTTTTGGGATGAAGCTTTTCTCACCGCGTGTTATTTAATCAACTGAATGCCTAGTCAAACCACTCATAACTATACTCCCATCACTCATCTCTTAAACATTACACCTGACTACAAGTTCTTGCGCACCTTTGGGTGCGCCTGCTGGCCAAGTTTGCGTAAATACAACACTCACAAGTTGTCTTTTCGATCCACCATGTGTGTCTTCTTGGGATATAGTCCTATGCATTAAGGTTACAAGTGCTTAGATAAACAAACAGGTCGTATCTACATCTCAAGGGATGTAATCTTTGATGAGTCACGATTCCCTTTTGCAAACTCATCCTCTATTCCACCGCCTCTCTCGTCTCCCACTGTGTCTTTTCCTGAGTCTGAGCCAAACATAATGCATGACCACATTAGAAAATATGACTTATCGATGCTATTAGCTAACCCTATTCATGCAGCTGCAGCACCTATGACCGCTGGCATCTCCTCTACTACGGTGTCCCAACAACCACCGCTTCCTACTATTTCACCGCCAACATCAGCCACTAATGCAGCCTCCTATACCGGCGATACATCTCCAGATGTTCCTGCTGTGCCGCCCACCCTGCCGACCACCCCTTCACCAGCAGCGCCATCCCCAGCGCCTTCTCTGGAAAATTTATCGCCGCCACCAGGCCCCTCCGGTGTCACTACTCGAGGGAAAGCAGGAAAAATTTTCCCCAAACAATTTTCTGATGGCACCATTCGGTATAATCCAAGTCGGAGAGCGTTCTTTTCCATACCAACTTCACATCAAGATGCGTTATCTGAACCTCAGTGGCGTCGAGCTATGGAAGATGAATTTACAGCCCTCTACAGGAACAAGACCTGGACATTAGTACCCAAACCGGTTGGGTCCAACGTAGTTGGGTGCAAGTGGATTTTTAAAACAAAATTAAAACCTGATGGTTCTCTGGATAAGCATAAGGTACGACTAGTTGCTCGCGGATTTACACAGCAATATGGTATCGATTATCAAGACACTTTCAGCCCCGTTGTTAAACCTGCTACTGTTCGATTAGTGATTTCACTTGCGGTTTCCAAAGGTTGGCATCTTCGTCAACTTGATGTCAACAATGCGTTTTTACATGGGCTGTTACACGAAGAAGTCTACATGAGACAGCCTCTTGGATTCGAAGACTCCCATTTTCCACATCATGTGTGCAAGCTCCACAAGGCTATTTATGGTTTAAAATAGTCTCCTCGCGCATGGTTTGCCTGTCTTAGTGACAAGTTACATCATCTTGGTTTTCGTTCCTCCAAAGCAGATTCCTCCTTGTTTGTTTTTCATCAAGGCAGACATGTCATATACATGGTTGTGTACGTGGATGATATTGTTATAGCCGGCTCCTCTACAGTTCTTGTGGATCAATTGATGCACAATCTCTCATTATCTTTTCCTATCAAGGACCTTGGTCGACTTAACTACTTTCTTGGGATTGAGGTCACTCACAATTCAGGGGGAATTACCTTGTTTCAACATAATTATGCATCTGATCTCATACATCGTGCTCATATGGAGAATTGTAAGAGTGTCTCAACTCCTATGTCAGTTATAGACAAACTTGCACAAGACTATGGAAAACCGGTAAGTGATGATGATGTCTTTAAATATAGAAGTATGGTTGGAGGTCTCCAATATCTTACTCTAACTCGCCCAGATATTTCTTTTGCAGTAAATAAGGTATGTCAGTATCTTTGCAGACCTACTGATATGCATTGGGAGGCGGTAAAACGTATTCTAAGATATGTTAAAGGCACGATTAGCACAGGGTTAAACATCAGGAAGTCAGATTCGACACTACTTAGTGTTTTCACAGATGCAGATTGGGCTGGATGTTTGGATAATCAAAGGTCAACCGGGGGATATGCGGTATTTCTAGGTCCGAATTTAATATCATGGAGTTCTCGCAAGCAACCCACAGGGTCACACTCAAGTACGGAAGCGGAGTATAAAGAGTTGGCAAACGGTACGGCTGAAGTAACTTGGATGCAATCTTTACTCAAAGATCTTGGTGTTTCTCAACCAAGACCACCTGTTTTGTGGTGTGACAATCTAGGAGCCACATACCTAACTGCGAATCCAATGTTTCACGCAAGAACAAAACATATAGAAGTTGATTTTCATTTTCTCAGAGAGAATGTGGCAATGGGAGCTTTGGATGTTCGTTTTATATCTACGAATGATCAGATAGCAGATGTTTTTACTAAACCTGTTACTCGTAACATGCTCGAGAATATGAAGTGCAATCTCAACCTCGTCACGGTCAAGATTGAGGGGGAATGTAAACTAAAGGGTAATCTGAAATAGTTTAAAATAGAGTAGATAAGATTAATTGTATTTATCTTATAGTTGTTGTATTTATCCAAATCCGTTTGTTATGGATCTAGCTTTGTAATTGCTATCTATATAATGACAAACACACTCATGCGGGAGATTCAAGCCAATAATTTCTGTTCTTTAACTGTAAACAATCAAAATGTTGATAAAAGGCTTTGGATGTGACCGTAGTGAAGTTCGGGTGTCCGGAAAAGGTCGAGAATCGAGATGGTTCAAAAAGAAGGTGTTTAAACCCTCTTGTGAATGAATGATATGACCAATCCGATTAAGGGGGTGATTGTTGGGTTAATTGGATAGTAAGTCAAGAGGCATTTTAGGAAAGTTAGATATTTGAGTTTTATTTTATTGTTTTAGTGTTTGAACATGTTTTTATTTCAGTTAGTATATCTAGTTGTAATAGTTTGCTTTTTAACAGAGAAAGAACCATGTTTTTAGTGAATCCTTTGGAATCAAGTAAATACTCTTTTATCCTTCGGTTCTCTTTTAGCCTCTATTTTCTTTTTCTGGTTGTTTGGTAGTCCTTGCCACACAAGAATACTATTTCTTGTTTGCTATCTACATATAACTTTTGATCTGAGCAGTTGATGTTGAGGTTAAATTATATTTTGAAATATAGAATCTTCTTTAATGTATTTACACAAATAAAAGTATAAAAATAATGGAAGCTTTTGTTCAACCATAGAAATGTTGTATAAAGAAACGACAGGATATACCAACATATAAGGTTGTAATTAAACATATGAACCATTTCATCTATCAAAAAATTAGCGTGTCATAACTCATAAATTACTTCATATGCTTTTCATAGAATAATGAAAATTTCATCCCCTAAAATATGTTTTTTTTTCAAAACTTAGAACGTCATTTTCAAGTTAGGCAAACGATGAATTTAAGCCAAAATAAGAACAAATTTTGGTCACGAAAACTACAGTCTTAGAAAAGAAAAAAAGGGGATCGTTTTGTATGTGCATGCAATAATTGTAGTTGAATTTGTTATTTAATAACTGTATGTCTAGAACACAAGCTTTGAGTATAAAACCATTCAAGATGTTTGTCCGTAAGAGCTAAGACTATATGGATAATTGTTTTAAAGTTTTATATTATGGAGGATGCTAATATATTTTTTTGTCTAAAAATAAATGTTTAATTTTGACATGCATGATATTGCTTGTAAGGTCACGTTCATGCTCCATTTTCAATTATTACAAAGAGATTTGATAAAGAAAAAAGAATCAAGAAAGGAATATATTACAACCTACTTAGAGGAAAAATAAAGTATTTATTGAATTTTAAAGGAGGGAGTGTTTTCTAGGTGCCTAACTATATCAGCTATTATTTTATTTTATGAATTAGTTTTAGGATACAAGAGACCAAATAGGACCGAAGATTCATTGTCTAACAATGATCTAAGATATTATTCCGTTAATTAAACATGTATCATGTCCATTGGCATCTTCAAGAGTCAAGTCATGTAAAATAATCGTCTTTATGTCAAAACGTTTTCAAAATGTCGTAGAAAGATTTATTCTGTTAATGATAATATGTGAAATTAACTGGTTGTTAGCTTTTCATACGTAAGTTATTGCAGAAAATGATAACTTGGAAATAAAAAGCTAGAAAAAACGAAATAAGACATAGTTGGAGTCAATAATTATCTCATTATTCATACTCTAAAAGTCACAAGTGTTAAAATTGAAAGTAAAAAGTATAAAGACTTGAAATATTTGCAATAATAACGTAAAGAATAGAATATTGACTCAAATGAATATGAATTATAAACTGAAACAAAATTTGAAGTACATAATGACTCTTTTTTGTGCAATTCACATCCTTAAAATCAAACAAATAATTGGAACTATTGATATGTTGAGAATTGGTGACCATAATTAATAAAGTTTAAAAGTCAACACGACTTTATTACAACGCATGAAGCATGCATCACACATTTCAACCTACTTGACAAAAACCTTCTTTCTCATAACCAATGTCAATGCCTTACACAAAAATATGTTAATCGCCGACATCTAATCAAAATTATTATAAATAATATTTTTTATTATGTTATCCAAGAACAACATATATATATATATATATATATATATATATATATATATATATATGGACTCATTTCATTTGAATCATAGACATTGACCATGTTAAATTGATCTTTTATATATATATATATATATATATATATATATATATATATATATATATATATATATATATATATATATATATATATATATATATATATATATATATATATATATATATATATATATATATATATATATGTTATGCTTATACACAATGGTATAAACATAGAAGGAGAGATAGGTTTTTGATAGGTCTCAATCCCTAACCGGGCCCCGTTTGTCCATGATGGATGGTATACTTGCAGAAATGGTCAGCAGTTCGAGTCTCAGCGATTACAGTCTGGAATTTCTTTTTCAGTTTTGATTGGACTCCGTGCTTTTATCTTTAAAGGGTGCTCGGGGACATAGGATATACCTGTGGTGCAACAATTTATGTTACTTCTTAATATCACAAATAATTAGATAAATAACCAAATTATACGCTCCTTATATCACATAAAATTGTAATAAGTTTTATTGTTGTATAAGAGGTTAAATGTGTTGCATCTATGAAACACAATTTTATAGTTTTTCCAAATTTATGCAACAAATATAACAAAGTGGTTTCTTTCCGAGACAAAAACATAAACATGGAACATTATAACCGGAAATTAGTCACCTAATGAACGGCATGACGCCAGTTAAATTGCTTATTTATACAACAATATTTCACATTTTTTTTCAACAATTTATGAAACAATGTTTCATTTTTATATTGATTTATGCAACGTTTTGAGAGATGTCAATCAATACAGTAAGCGATTGATTATTGTTATTGTTATTGATTTCTTCTAAAAAGTCGGTTTATAGCCAACAATGTTTCATACTTTCACCAATTTATACAACAATGTTTCTTTTGCTACCACTTTATGCAACCATGTTTTAACCACTGTAAAATATTGCATTTTTTGGTCCTAAAGCCAAACATTGTTGAATGAATAAACTGAGAAACAGGTGAAATATTGTTGCATACATGCGCACTTAGCCCTTTGGCATTCTACAGTATAATCATGTAGGCAAAAAAGTTTAGAAGCAGAATGCGTATTTACCTTTTTCAACGTTAATCTGTAAAGAATCTAGAGTAATAATGCCATCAGTCAATGGAAGTAGCTCCAGTTTCACACTCACTGTGGATCGACCGGGAACACACCTGCTTCCAAATAATAATAATAAAAAAAAAAAAAACCCAAATCCATTAAAAAAAATAATTAAAAAAATAAAAAGTTAAAAGAAATGAGTCTTACCCTAGAGGAACTGTACTTTTGAACCACATATGTGTGCGACCAATATCAGTATTAGAAACGGGAACTATTTGGTCACTATCAACACGACATCTTTGATCTAACACTTTAGAAACAGAGCAGAGTCTATGAAGGGCAATATCGTCATTGCTCACTCTTTCATCAAACGGGGTCATTGGTGATGCGGGTGAATAGTTTAAGGACACCATAGAAGAGGTAAACGAAGGTGGGGCAACTAATGTTAATGTTAAAGCCTCATTCGTCAAATTCGAAGCCTCAAGAGTTAAAACCTAACCACAAATGGAATTATCAATATTCAATACGATGAGCTTTTATATTAATCTTCTGTAAATATATTTTTCGAATTATTAAAAAACCTGAATTGGTAAGTTAGGGATTGTGTTGTCTGATTGGAGAGTTTTTCTTGATGTTTGAGATGCAACGCTAACAGAGATCAAAATGTCCTTTTGAATATGTGGTTGCCAGTTTGTTGGCTGCTTAAAAAACAACCTCGATTCTGCATAATATGATAAAAAAACATATATTTATAATAAAATAAGCAAAGTATTATGAAGATTCAGAAATAGGGAAGTGGATTATTATTACCAGTATAGTTGGATGTGCATGATATAAGAAGTGCATATCTATTAGAAGGTGAGAGACCACGATCCACATTGGTGAGGGTGAACACACTTGATCGTGTGCTTCCAGGTTGCAACTGTGATAACTGATAACTTCTCTTCACTTGAGCATTACAACATGAAATTGATGTAACTGGTTTCAGAATGAAGGAGTGTTCTTCACCTTTCCTGTCAAACGAAAACCTAGTCAACCAAATTGTTTTGACTTTTCACTATTTGCCAAATGTCTAAAATAACCTTCAACAAAATTTTAAGATTAAAGATTAACCTGAGGGGTAAACCTGGCAAACCATGATTATTGCCAGCTTCAATGCATGTAATTGGTAGAGAGGAAGGGGTTCCATCTTTGGAAGACTCTTCACATATAACTGATATAGAATCCAAGTATATAACAATATCTGGTGCATGTGGAGGAGAAACATTCTGCATAATCAATGATTAATTAATTAACTCCTAATATGTATATTAACTTAAGATTATATTCAACTTAGAAGAGAAAGTTTGGACCTTAATTTGAACACAAAGAAGATCTTCTGTATTGCATTCAGCAGCAAAGCAACGAATCTCTAAAGGTTTTATAATTTCAATTTTCCTTCTCCACCTTCTACCAGGTATATAAATACCTTCAAGCCCACAACAAACAGAGAATCTTTCAGGCTCAAGTAAAACACCTCTGAAAGATAAAAGCTCTTCGTTATTTCTTTCAATCCCAGGGTTACTACTTGTTATGATCTGATTCCAATCATCTGGGCCCACATTTGATCTGGTTTTAGATGGAATTGATGACATTGAATGACTTCTGAAATGACCTAATAAAAAATTCTGAGATCCAAATGAGCTTGGGGAGTTGGGTTTTGTCAATGAGCTTCGAGCATTTGGATTGTGGCTCGTTTCTGGAAATGATGATAAAAAAGTAGAATTTTTAACAGGAAGTAGCCATTTCAAGAGATCTCCATATGGGTCTTCTTTTGGTTGACTCAAGTTTTCTGAAGTCAATATTGTTGACTGATGTTTTCTGAATTGAAGGATTTCGAGAACTGGATCATTCAGAAACTCTACACCAATGTTTACCTGTAAAAGCACCTGCATCCTTCCAAACAGAAAAAACAGAATATAAATAAGTAATACAAAGATTAAAAAAAAACATTTGATTATAATGATGTTATAATTTATAAATGTTGTTTATGAAACATACCACTATGTCTCCATTAGGAAGCAAGCTACATTTGACATCATTTTTTGCAACTCCACCTGAGGTACTAGTATCAAGACTTTCTCTATCAAGTGATGTATTTATAGAACTAGAAGGGTTCTTATTAACATCTTTACTGGATTCCATCTGAAGAAAATGTCCTCCAATTGCTGCTGTTGATCCTTGAACTGTTGAATTGGTTTTCCTTTTTGACCAAAGAACTTCATCTGACTCAGCAATTCGAGCAAAAAAATGAGAATTCCTAAATCTTTTTAACAATTCTTGAGGATTTACTCTGTCTTTTTCCTTGCTGAGAGCTGAGTCACCAGCTACATTTGTGGATAAGGTTGCTAGGATATGAATTTGTTCACCTGGGTTTCAAAATATGCAATGTCTTAACACAAAATGGAAAGAAAAAAAGAGAATAAGTTGCTCACTTGAAAGATAAAAACATGACTATGTTTAGAGATGAATAGCTACCTGGAAAAACAAAGGAACGATCAAAGGATTTGAATGATAACATATCTGATTCTTCATTCCAATCATCAGGAAGCTCCTCTGTGAAAGGATTTAACAGAAATGATGATTCATATTTATGCATATAGACTATTACTGGATAGAGAAAAATAAAGTAATCAAGAAAAAAAAAGTATGAAGACATACTGCATGGAATGGTGATAAATCCTTCGTCTTCATGAACATCAAGGTGTTTATCTACAACATTTAAGCGATTATTTGTATTCCAGCCCCCCAGTATTTCTTGTCTACTCCTAGATCCTTCACTTCTTCCTTCATAATCACTGGCAGATGACCTTTTTGCTACAAGATCATCTAATTTTGCAGCTAGCTTCATGTTGTTTTATTCTGCTTGAGGTTCACTCCTCTGAAATTCAAATGATAAGCTTTCTTGAATTGACCTCTAAACAAATAGCAGGATTTTAAGCTGTTATGCATGCTCAGTTGAATATTAGTCTATGTTGTTAACAACTTAAGCTAGTCTCATGAATCAATTTATCAAGATAGAAATATAAGCTTAAACAGTTGAACCCATTTTGACACCATTTGTTATGGTCAAAATATATAACTGTATAAGGCTTTTGGAAAGTACCTAAGTGTTTGAAATTTATATGCATTAAACTTTGTCTATCCATTTATACACATTACCAAGAACACCTATATTTCTCTTAATTCTTTATTAACTTGGCAAACATTTGTTAACAGGGGCTAACCATCAAAGTTCTCACTTCTGTTTGTCTTTAATTTCATTAACCTCTCAATTAGTTTGACAATGCAGAGTATTAGTACCTATATCTACCAAAAAAGAAGTTGGTGAAATGCTGAAATATCATGGAACTTTACATCATCTGTTCTTAGAACTCAAACGCTTAGAACATTAAACACATTTTCCTTCTTAGTATTTGGCAGCTGTTACATCATCTGTTCTTACACGGGACTGATTTTGCTCCAATTCAAATCAGCTTCATTTCAGTTCCATTCAGATTGTTTCTGATTAACATAGAAACTGAGAGTAATTAACACGCCAACTAAAAGTGAGATTCTGTATCGTATGCCCTTGACACTTCCATTCAAACTATTTCTCAATCGAGTGATGTGTGACGTGCTTTAGATTATCATTATCAATCGACATTTATCGAGACCGATCTTCTTGATCCATAATACGTATTACTTAAATTATTCGAGTGGAGTAAGAATTAGGGTTTTAAGAAAGAGCTAATTACGATATATGTTTGTACGATAACACAAAATTGCATGAGAAATGTCTAGAAACGATCACAAAGGAGGGTAGGGAAGCAAACCAATCGGAGATCATGCCGGAAAAGAGAAGTCTCGCCAATCGATTCAGGTAAAATAAACTGATGCAGTGAATCTACAAGACCAGTGACAAAACTTCAAAGATTTGTAGAAGTCGTTTGGTGGAGAACCGGAGATTTCCGTATAGTCTCCACATGAACGCACTATTAAACGTTTTTCTTTCCTCGCATACTTCTATAAAAAAAAAAATTATTATATTAAATATTTTTAAGAGTGTTGAATTTAAACACGCAAATTACCTTAAATGTACTCTATTCTTTGATACAATTTTGTAGCCGTTAACCAAACTTGTAGTACATTTGCTAATTTTGCATTTCATTAGCCTATTTTGTAGCCCATTTGTTAATTTCATGTGTATGCCTTACGAGTTATGATACGAGTTACGAAATCCATTACTATTTTTGAAAACCCCTAAATTTTTGTTTAGATTATGGAAAAAGGTTGATTAACTAGATTTGTTTTTTTTTATCATATAACAATATATAAAATCAACACATTTGTATTTTACAAAAGTAACCCCTTTGCTTTGTCCCTTCAAAAATACTTGTTGAGAAAACATTGTATATAAAGTTATAAACTCATACACTGAACTAACACTCACATATAATATAAACACTGCATATAAAACAATATAATGCATGATATTAACTCATACGTCCAAATCCCAAGTCAACTAATCAAAAGTTACGTTTTCCTCTAAGGTAGTGTTTTCCCTTAAAAAACATACTTGCCAACTAGCACAAGGCACATAAGGCAAATATAGGACTTAAGAACCTAAATACCAAGTAAGATGGAACCACTACCATATATATGTACCACTCAAGGGTTTGCAAATCCTAAGAGCCTTTTTGTTAAGACATTTTAGAATTTTTCAATAACACACACTTTCTTTTTTGTTGGATATCTAAGTCTCGTACAATTGTTCGGATCATACTTTGTTACTTCGCCCATAACACCTTATGAAGGAATGTAAGGTGTACATGATTTATGGAATAACATAGCACCTTATGAGTAAATGTAATTGCAATGTGTACATGGTTTATGCAACAATTTAAATTGCCTCGTAATCGAACAATAAAATAATTAATCTCTATAAATCATTTTATACCGTTTGTCCACCAACCGTAACGGTCTCCCTGTTTTTGAGGTTATGTGAGAGAGGACCCTTCTTTGGCAATGATGCTAAGCAGCCTCTATGGAGCTAGACCGTAACTCTTTCTCATGACCATCCTTAAGGAGCTCTTAAGATTTGAACTTTGGTCAATGGGTTAGTAGGCTCATCTTCGAGAGGCCTTACCATGTGAACTTGGGTCTATAAATCACTTTGTTGTATTTAAATCAAACAATTAAGGAGGTGTTTGGGATTATTTTTAAAACAACTTATTGATTTATTAATTTTTTGAAAAGTTAAAAAAAATATTTGGCAAACTTAAAAACAATTTTGAAAATAGTTTTTTCATTAGCTTTAAAAAATACTTTTTAAAAAATATGTAAATTTTGGTTTTTTGAAATTGTTTTTGACTTTTTAACCAAAGTAACTTTTGAAATGAGTTTTTAAACCAAATACTTTTAAACTTATTGAGTTATTGACTTTTTCATCATAAAAACTAATCCAAACGGTTTTAAAAAAATTCATTTTAGAACCACACCTTTTATCTAAAAATGTTTTTAGAGTTCAAATAGCACTCTCAAACACCCCCTAAATACTGACACCCATTAAATCAGTTTGATTCATGTGAACTAAAAAAAACAAAGACTTATCACCCCTGTCATTGTATTGTCTTTAAATCACACAATTAAATACTTATACCATTTAAATCACTTTATTATATTTAAGTCTCATAGTTAAATATTCATACCTTTATCTTATTTTCTTGTATTCATATCACACAATCAAAGACTCGCAAACTTTAAGTCCCAAATTAGTGGATTATCTTTAAAATCACAATCAAAGGCTCACCCATTCATATATTAAAATTAAATTTGTATGCGGCAGTCACATTCACATATTAAAACTAAATTTGTATGCGACAGTCATAGTAGTTATCACAAAAGATAACATATATGATGTCAATATGGTACATGTGCTTGGAAAAATAAAAATACTATGTACTCACCTCAACTTATTCATATATTAAAATTAAATTTGTATGCGATAGTCATAGTAGTTATCACAAAAGATAACATATATGATGTCAATATGGTACATGTGCTTGGAAAAATAAAAATACTATGTACTCACCTCAACTTATTCATATATTAAAATTAAATTTGTATGCGATAGTCATAGTAGTTATCACAAAAGATAACATATATGATGTCAATATGTTACATGTGCTTGGAAAAATAAAAATGCCGCCCTACCTAAACCAATCATCATATCGGTCCCTAGGCCCCATTGCTGGAAAGGCTCGGCTTCAAAACCGTACGTGGAGCTTCCGCCTCATACGGCTCCTCTAGGGAGAGAAGCTGGTAAAGTAAAGACAGACTCTTTCGAAAGTAATGGTGGCTAGGAATGGCTTCAGTCAGGTCATCGATCATCACATAATAAATCAAGGGCTTTCGCCAAAAGAGGAAAACATTTTTTTTTCAAATAAAAATACTATGTACTCACCTCAACTTAGATATCTTTCACCTCAACTTAGATATCTTTTCTGACAATTTAAAAGTCATAACTTATAACTCTTTTTCATCTATAGAATATCATTTTATCATCTATGAGTCATAACTAACACATATAAGACTTATAACTTATATTTATGAAATTTACCAAAAGATCATAGTAGAAAATTATTTTAAACATCATCAAACCATAATATTAAAATGTATCAAAACCGAGTCATTGGAAAAATGGTGTATCAAATCATCATAATCACTTGGAGTTTTAAAATGTCAACATAGATGCGTGTACAATACAGCCAAGTTGGAGCATTCCATTGCCGAAAACACAACCTAAAAATATTTAATCTACATCTATAAGAATAACGCTTATTAAGTTCTACAAAGTACCACACACCACAATACACATACAATGCATACAAACTAGGGGTGAGCATGGTGCGGTTCGATGCGGTTTTGTATAAAACCGCAATCGCAACCGCAAATTGCGGTTTTTTAAAACCGAAAACCGGAAATTTCGGTTTGATCCGGTTCGGTTTTGTGATTTTCGGTTAAAAAGGTGCGGTTTTTCATGTTCAAAACATAAAATTTAGTCGACTTTCATTTATTTCAAGATTTTCGTCGTAAATAAATCACAATTTTGGTCCATATTTATTCTTTCAAGTTGCATTTTATTATGTTATATTGAATTCATTTCATTCAAATAATTAACAATATGTCTAGCATTTACTAACCACCATTTACACACCAAAAACTAAACAATAAAAATCGTAAGATGATAAAATTGATAATTTATTTTATTAATTAAATATAAGTATTATAAATATTTAAATAATATATTAAATTATGCGGTTTGCGGTTATTTCGGTTAATTTGGTGCGGTTATTAAACATAAAACCGAACCGCACCTTAATTTTTCGGTTTTTCAAAATTAAAAACCACATCATCAGTTTTTGTTTCGGTTTCGGTTATTCGGCTTCGGTTTATGTGGTTATTTCGTTTTTTTTTTTTGGTATCGCTTCGGATTCTGCTCACCCCTAATACAAATAATGCTCTCAGCTCTAGTGTCGGTCCACCCAAACAGACAGTGACTAATGGATCTAGTACACATCTAGTCATAACGACGTCTAAAAACTCTTATGCATGTCTAGTCATCCTAGCAGTTAACAGATATAGTGCATGTCTAACCTTGGCACGAGTAATCTAGGCTCTCGGCTTTGGTGTCGATCGGCAATTAACTCCTTAAACATACTATGTTGATATATCATGCAACCAATCAATCAAACAATCAACATGAAAACGAGTACACAAATTACTTGTCTAATCAACATACTATAATACCACTATATCCTATTATACAACGATACATAGCGTAACATATAATATAGATATATAACTCACATGAACTGACAACTGAAGAATCACAACTATACGCGTACACTCGCAATTCAACCTTGGTCTATAGCTCAAAATCCACCAAATTGACTAAAAGTCAAAATGATCAAAAAGTCAACATTTAACTTGGTAAAAGTCAATGATTAGTACTTAGTAGTCAACGGTTTGTTGATTGTTGACTTTCATCATTAACAGTTAACTTTTTGACCTTTAACAGTTGACCTTCTAACCAGTTTGACTTTTTGTCAAACTTTGATGGATTTGAATAAACCGAGGTTTGGCCTCTATTTTGCTATTAGGTGGTTTGTAATAGCCATATCTTTGTGTAGATTGTTATGAATTTGTGATTTCTTTATTAAAGTGAGTTTTCTCACTGTACTATAGAGGTGATAGTATTGTTACTCTGTTAGAGTACATATGTATGATTAGACTAGTATAGCCTTTTGTATGTTGATTGATAGTCATAATATGCAATGATGACTGACCGAAGAAAGGTTGTGGGTCTATAGGCGATGACTGATCGATAAAAGACCATGAGTACAGGGGTGATGACAAACTGAAGTTAGATCGTAAGTCTACAGGTGATGAAAAATCGACGATAAGTCTTGAGTCTGGTAGATTGACGAAAGGTTGTGGGCTATCAGGTGGTATACATTGTATGTGTTAAATTATGTATGTAATGAAATGTATAGTATATTGTGGAACTCACTAAACTTTGTTCTTATACTTTTAAGTTAAATATACCAATCTTTATCGCAATTGTAGAAAATATACCAATCTTTGCTGCATTTTGTCTCTCTTTATCGCAATTATAGAAAATATACCAATCTTCACTAGAAGATAACCTGTAGAAAATACGGAATAAGGGAACATAAGGCTCAACTTTTTTTTGCCTTACGTAGGAGTTCAAATGCAACGGTTTTGAACATCGCATTTGGCTTTAGTTGGCTTATGTGTATAAAATAGTGAGATAATAAATCTTCAAGAAACTAGGAGACTGGGAAACGAAGGCTTGCCTTCCATAGTTTTGATATAAATACCCACTTTATCTAGAGGTGGATCCTTGATATGCTAAGTAGGAACAGGTAGAAGAACTCTATCCGACGGATGCAATCCATATTGGCTAGCCACCCTTTCTGAACCTGCTTGTGAAAGAGTTGAGAATATGTCTTCTGT